ACGTATGTACAAATGTATGTTTAGTATGCGCGTATGTATGTATACAAATTTAAACACCATAAGTGTCAACAAATGCCTGCATACTCGCACTCCAATTAGTCCGACAAGTGTTTAACTTGTTACTCGATTAGTTAAAATAAGAATAATTAATCAATGAAATTAAAATTGTAAATTAATGAGCGCACAAGCATCCATAGTTCCTGTGTAGGTGAGTATGTGTGTGAATGTGCTTGCATGCATGCATACATTGACACCAACCATACATAAATTGGTGTGTTTGTAATTATGCAATCAAGTATGCACTTGTACTACATTTAAATTTACATATGTGTGTATGTACGCATGCATACATACCTATATACATAGCCATCTGCAATGTGTGCAACAAACGATGCCATCTCGCAGTGATAGCTGCAGCAGTCCTACGCAACTATCGCGCGACACTTGTTTGCCGCAGCACTCGAACGATGTACGACACAGTTGCACGCGCGCGCTGATGTATGCACACTTGAATAGGATGCTAGCAGACACTTGCCTACATGCATTGGCACAAACATATATACATACATACGTACATGCATACCCTGTTGGACATGTATCTAACTATAAGCTAACTTTAAATTCATTACGAAGGAGCTAAAAGTCACTATTATCTGTATATGTATTTTCTTTGACGAAAGCTAACTATGTACATATATTTCTATGGTGATGGCCGCGAAATAGCCAAGGGTGGTTACCTCTGCATATGATGTAACTAACTTGTAACTAACTACTCTTTTGGACATAAAATATCAATAGGAAAATCAAAATATTTTTTTTATGTTTTTATTTATTTACTTTATTTGTTTTATTACATTTCATATTTGTTTACGTATTCTGCTGTAGGTGGTCCCATATTCGAATTCCGTCAGACACAACTTTGAAATGATAATATGAAATTTCGATCTTCCTTTTATTTGTCCTCAATTCGAAAGACTATTTGCGAAGCGCAGGATATTTAAATAGAAACGCGTTTAAAGAAAACAATCTCATTACTTGTCAACTGGTTTCAAATTACCTTTTATAGCTAAGTACAAGTTATATATTTTATAGAAGCCCCACAAAAAAACTAACTACAAGTGGATTATTTTTTATCAACTGATACTTTTTTGCTGCGGGGTATGTAAGTAAGTACATACTACAGTATGCGGTGTGAGGTAGGGGTGCTTGTAGCAAGCGCCAACAAGTATTTGAAAAACAAGACTTGTTACCCGTGTAGCAAACGTATGCTCTTGCAAGTTGCAATATCGGCATACCCTCCATAGTTGTTTCAATGTGCGACCCTGTGTGCCACCACCTTCTCCAGCACCGCCTCAACTAACACAACACCACTTGAAACCATGCTTGGCAGCATGACTGCTCGCTTCGCTGCTGAATGCTGGCTGCCAGCCTGTTTGCTATTTAATATGATAATTTATGCACGAAATAAATTCCCTTATTTTAAGGCATAGCACATGCCCAAGCAGAAAAGAACGACAGGTCGGTTGAATGTTGCTGCTGCAAAGGTATTGCAGCCAAAAGCCACACACAACAGTTGCAATCACACACGATTTCATGTGTATATGAATTTCCATATATACATATGCATGCGGTATGTTGCATAAATTCCATTCATCCGCCGCTGTCGTACCACTTGCCACTGCGTCTATCATATCTGCCATGCAACATTGAAAGTTGCTTAACGTCGCACTTGACTGCTCGCACTGCGCTCCCATTTACTGTTTGCTGATTCGGCTGTTCAATTGCTCGCTTATTCGGTTGTGCGGTTCCTTAGCTACCGCTATGCTGCTATGTAGATGGCTGTGGGTATGGCAGCGGCAGCGGCTGCGACTGCGTGTGGTTTTCGCTACATCGTCCTTGAGCAGTGTGCACATTAAATAAGCCAGCGTATTGCCACTTATTCAGGAATCTTTACTTATTTTCAAAAATCGAATATGCATTAGAGGGGATCGGAAAATTTGAGTTAAAGAATCGCATAATTATGTATAGGCGGGACTCTTAACATAAGGTTGTGGCCCCAATCTCGATAGGAGAGTCAGAAGAGGAATTTCAGGCTTGAAATTTTTCTCTATCAAAGTCATCAAAATCGGGTCATTAAAATTTATGGCTTCCACACAACGATTGTTGAGTTATGAGTTAAATCTGTTAATTAATGTTTCCCCTCAGAGTTAAAAATTATGAAATGAAAAATTTAATTACGGCCCCAGTTGTGACCCTTTTATTTGTGGCATCACTTGCTTTTTTCTTTCAGCTTGAAAACATATATAAAAATAAGTATTTATATCATTTGGCGCGCACTGCCTCAACAGTCGCAATGGCTGAGTGGGCAGAACACTGGCGTACCGTTCGAGAGATCCGACTTCGAGAACTAGGGCTGGATAATTTTCTTTTTTCCTCTTTTTATTTATTTTATTTTCTTGTTAAATTTTTAAAAAGTAATTTTAAATTTAATTTAAAAAAAATATATTTTAAGCAACAAAACTTAAACATTTAATTTAAAGAAAAAAACAAAAAAAAATAAGCTGCCGAGGATTGAACTGGGATCTCTCGAATGGCACGAAAGTGCTCTGCCCACTGGGCCATCGCCCCTGTTACAGTAACGTTATCGAAAATGAGATTTATAGGAAACAAACAAAAAATTTCAAAATCATTCCTTAGAAAGTAAGTAAAGACGAACGAATCATTAACTGACTCTGAGCAGGGAATTTTTTCATATCGTTACTAAGGATTACCTTATGTAATCCTTAAACGACTCTGAGTGCGGCTGTAAGATATTAAAATTAAATACATTTACGCTGTAATACAATTTTACTAATATTAAAAATGTGAAAGTCTGTGAGTGAGTTAATTTGTGAGTATGTTTGTTGCTCTTTCACGCTAAAATGGCTGGGCATATATATTTCTTTAAAATTTGGCACACGGATAGATTATGACCTGGAATAATATTCAGGATTTTTTCTAAGAAAGTTGCCACCTTTTTATTAAAAGTAAAAATCAATTATTCAATAGGTTAATGAAAATATTTATTACGCGAATGTGGGATCAAACGGAACGATTTATTTCGAAATAACTTTGAAGAGGGTTGCCAGCTGTTCAAAATTTTAAAATCAATTTAATTAAAAAAGTAAAAGAAATATTTATATCTGGAAAACGTACGAGAGAGGTTTAGGAAAGGTTTATCTCGAAAAGAAAAATTTGATTTTTACGAGCGTTGCCACCTGTTTGAGAGTTAAAAATCAATTTAGTAAACAAGTTAAACGAAATATGTTTATCATGTGGGAATCAAATCTACGATAGGTCTAAGAAATCTTCATTTCGAAAATATTTTTAAAGACGGTTGCCACTTGTTTGTAAATTCAGGATCGAATTAACGAGTTAAATGAAATATTTTAATATGGGTGCCAAACGAAAGATGTTGAAGTAAGCATTTTTTCTTATATATAATTGGAGGGGGTTGCCACCTGATAGACATTTAAAATCAGTTTGATTAACAGATGTAATAAAATATTCTAATATGGATGTCAAATGAAAGAGGGCTAATAAAGCTTTATTTCTGCATATATTTTTGAAGCAAATTTTGTTATAAGAAAGTCGTTTACTCTTTTAAAAGTAAAATTTGAAGTAGTCAATTTTTAATTGTAACTTAGATAAAAGCATTTTTTCACATTTCTAAAATGTATTAAATAAACTTTTTCCATTATGTTAAATAAAAAACAACTTAGCATTATTATGAAATTAAAATTGTATTCTAATATATACAGACTATCTTCGAAAGATAAGTTGTTCTTTATACCGAAACGGCTGAATTACTTAAACTTTGGCGCAAACTTTCACCATGTTCTTAGGCATAATTTGTATCCCATAATTCGGAGTAAGACCATTGGGTACAACAGATTGAGGTGCAGCTATAACATTTGCCAGCATAATATTAAATACAAGTTAAACTTTATCGTGTTCAAGGAGACAGCACTGATCCTGCATAGTTTTAGTATTTCTTTTATCAATAAAAATAAAAATGATAAGCCGTTTTCTCGAAAACTAGTGATTTACAAAAAATTATGACTTTAAGACAATTCTGTCTATTGAGTTGGAAGAATACTAAAGTGGCCGATCAAATCTAATACATAGGTTTTACAAAAATGTTCTTTTTTTGTGGTTACGAAAAGCACACAGGCACATTTTATAAGCATATATTTATGTAACTACAAACGTGCATACATCCATACCCAAAAAAGTACGAATGCATGAGCGCTTTTATAAGCGTAACATTTCTTTCCGCTTAATTTTATTTTTTATTGGCTGTTTACATATTTGCACTTACGCATGTACATATGTACAACCTATGCACATATTTGAGTTAAAATTAAAATCGATGAAGTGCGCTGTACTTTACGTAAAACGCCACTTGTGGGAGCCATAAATACTTATGCTACCTATTGTTGGATATCCGTTTACTTGTGTTTGTGTATACGCTGAGAAGGATGAAGGACACATTTTCAGTGGAATTAATTTCACTCATTTTCTGAATATTGTGCAAGTAGTATCATTTACTGTATAAAAGCATATTGATTATATTAAATAGTCCTGGTAAGCTCTTAAGCTCAATATGGCCACTAAAGGCCCCGCAGCAGATTAGTTGGAGATGCGTCAGTTGGTAGGACTCATTTTCAATCCTGTTCGGTGCAATGTTTAAATCAAACAATATAATAATAAAAAAACTAAACTAAACTAAAAAACTTTCTTGCCGTCCGTTGGCCGCGGAAATCTATAGATACCTCTATTTGAGTGATTACTTTAAAATGCAATTACAAACGGGAAGAAAAGCTTGACAAAATATTTGGCAAAACGTAGAAGCAAAACCAATTTATTTATTTTTTAATCTTAAAAGTATTTATATTTCATAGTTGTTTGCAAGTTGGGAGCAACCTTTCTAAACTTAGAATTTATTTTTTACTTTCCAGGATTGAAGTTGACCCAGAAATCTCTAAGCCATTGAACTTGGCCAATTCGGCTGTGCTGCGCGCCGTTGAAGAAGAAGAGCAAATGAAGTGCGGTAAGTGAATTTTAGGTTTTGCAAATGACTAACATAAAGAAGTACTCCTACATTTCCATTTTCAGTACAGTCCTTTGTTTTTATGTATGTATTTGTATATTTAGTGTAACAAAGCATTCCACGTTTAATTTCCCGAATTGAAAATTTTGAAATAAAACTATTGGCAAGCTGGTTCGTATATTTTTGTGAGTTTGTAAGATTTTAGTTTAAAAATCTAGCAGTGACACCTGATTTCTTGTATGTTAATCAGCATTTATCGGTAAAATATTCTTGCACATTCATCTAATGCGTGAAGCTTGATAGCTAACTCAATCGGGAAGTAATTCAACATCGTGCCTTATGGTGCTACGAAAGAGCTAAGCGAAGCTAACGGAATGAAACGAATTAAAGTTGAAATAGGCATTACGCATTCGTGTTTATGGTGGAGCAGATAAGCGCTTAAATTAAATCTTCCTTAAAAAAAAATTATCAACGTTAGACATTATAAGTTACGCAAACTGAAATGTAAACTATAATTGATATGAAAAATATTTCTGTAAAATAGCCAAATGCACATGCATATGCACATGTAGATATACATGATTAGAAATAACAGTACTAAATATACGTAGGTGCGTTTTCTCGATTACCTTTTTAAGGTAACGGGTGCTTTGACGGAAAGATAAATATATAACGTCTCGTTTTATTTAAAGCTGCCAAGTGCTGTTATTGGAGCGACTTCAATTACACAGTCGAGACACTGAAATTACACAAAGAAGGCAAGAAACCTCTTAACATAATTTTGCGTCGTAGATTATGGATCGGTATACCGTTTTTCTTGATCCGGTAATTTTCCCAAGATATTTTCATTTGAAGTTTGCATTGCGAATGAAAAAATTCAAATTTTAACATGGGAAATGTTACTCATACGCCATGCACGACTATGTATGAGTACGGCCATGTATAGTGTGACCAACCGTACTTCTTTCGGAAGTACAGTACCTCTTTTTTAGCTCTTGTACTTCGTACTTCAAAATGTACTTCTTTGCGATATTTTGTACTTCAGGTCCTGTACTTCTCCGTTCTTCTGGACGATCGTCACATAGCCTAGGCGATAAATTCTTTCAAATTATTAAAGTCGCCGAGGGTCGATGGCATTTTACCTGCGCAGCTGCAAAAGGCTATGAAGAAGTCGTGCAATTGGTTGGATTTTATACATGCGAACTGCGTGGGGACCGGGTACATCTTCAAGGCTTGGGTAGTCAGTGTTGCGTTCATCCCAAAGGCCGGAAAAAGCTCTCATGTTTCCTCTAGTGATTTTAGGCCCATCAGTCTGTCTTCGTTTTTGCTAAAAACGCTAGAGAGACTGATAGACCTGGACATAAGAATCGCGATTCCTCGTGACTGTCTTTCAAGACCTCAACATGCTTATTACAAGGAAAGCTCGGTGGATGCCGCCCCGCGCACATTGGTAAAGTGGTCAGATGAAGTCTTCACACTTAAATATTATGCAGTAGGGGCCTTCAACAATGTCAATCTAGAGGCAATAGTGAAGTATATTCATAATCTTGGGGTTGCAACCAACCTAATAAGGCTTATCTACAGCTTACTTCGTGACAGAACTGTCGCGGTGGTGTGGGGGAGCGCTTGCACTCAGAGCAGAGTCAATGGGGGGGGGGGGCATTCCGCAAGGAGGTGTTCTCTCTCCCCTGATCTGGATTGCGGCTGTAAACGACCTTCTGGAGGAATTTAAAAAATTGGGCTTTCAGGTGATGTTGTTGTTGTAGCAGCATACAAATTCCCCAAAGACTTTTTGGGGAGTGTTGCTGGAGTGACAGTCCTTGGCCAGATATAAATCTGGGTCGTTCCGGTTACGTGGACCCGACTGTCGTGGGAACGGCTTTCAGGTGATCGCCTATGTTGATGATGTGAAACTTTTGGTTAAGGGACAATTTCTATATACTCTTTTTTATCTAGCTCGAGGTTACCTGAACCAGGTAACTAGATCAACGGCCGCCTCGCAGTAAATCCCATCAGTGAGGTTGTTTGCCTGCGGTCAACAGGGTCAAGTACTTAGGCTTGATCCTGGATAGGAAGCTGTAGTGGAAGCCTAACATTGAGGAAAGGGCTGCCGGGTGCCTTACTTTGTACTCGCGATAATGAAATTGCATACTCTACTAAATACCTAATAAAATAGACAAAAGAAAATGATGTTTCTTTTGTGACATAAAAAAGGAAAAGAAGACGTTTCTCTGCTGCAGCAGAGGTTTTAATAGGGCACTTTAAAATACTCTTTGCAGCGCAAGACATGAGTGACCCATTGTTACCCCTTAAAGGTGCCGAATACCACGTTACCTCTCAAGAGCTAGTGATGGGGTTCGGTCAGGCCATTGTGCGATTGGTATTCAAGCGGTATGACTTGGAATTTTAACTGATCCCTTTTGAATCAGCTGTAAAGTGGAAGATGAAGTAGAATCATCTCCACACTTTCTTTTAGACGGTCCTATCTTTGCGAGGCTAACATGGAAGCAATTTGGCTCGCACTTCTGAACAATCACTGAGCAATCATAATGTAAATATGATTATACTACACTTTATAAACATATTTAGCTATTTATTTTTTTCTTTTGATTTCATAAGATTTCTGACTTTTGGCAGATTTTCGCTTAGAAGATTTTAAAGTATTGTTGAGTGAAAACTCCCTGCTGCTGTCAATTAAACTTTAGTCTTTAGCGTTGTTAACCTAGTGAAAATATTATGTACATATATCTACCAAAGAAAGGTTCTTAAACTCATGAAAATAACGATAACTTACACTTTGCACTAAAATGAAAATGCAAAATTTATTGCAAAGTAAACTTTTCCCACCAACAAAGTAGTTGGCAAACCAAAAAAAAAAAAACAAAAAAAAACTATGCAAATAGGTAATTGTAGTCAAACTTGATGCAACTCGCAAAGTACTAACTGCCGGCAAACAGGGAAAAACTTCAATAAACACTGTAACAACACGGATGCATACTGTAAATAACTAGCGTTTAACAAAAACCATAATAAAAACAACTGGAAAATAAGGCTGAAATGCCTGTTATTTGGGGTTGCAACAAAGTTTGGTGTACATTTAGTCGGCCTCATATGGCTTGCGCTGGTCTAAAGGGCTAATTTACTTTAGCGGCTGCCCAAACTGATTGGGCTCCTATCAACCTGGCCTTTTTAACTAACTAAATAAGTAACTTGGCCATTTGGCAGTCAAGTTGATCACTCTGAAAGGTCTACATCAAGTGAGCGAACGCACGAACTGGGCAAACTTGCGCGAACGATAAAGTTTCTAATTGTTAAACTCGCACGTTTATCACAGCCAAATGCGCATATGCAACACGCAACGAAAAGGCGCACACGCATGAACCTACACACACACGGGCAAATGCATACACTTGCATTATTCACTAGATGCATTTTATCGTTTGAAAAAAAAAAGAAATTGGCTACAGCGGGAACTTTATTTTGAGTAAAGTGCCAAGCTGCAGAAGACATATACGAGCATGTTTTTGTATGTGTGTATATATGTATGTATGTACGGCTATTCACTCACTCACTTATTTTCTTCTACTAGATATAAATATATTCACACTGAGTTGAGTCACTTACCCAAGTTGGGCAGCGTGCTGGCAAAGTTTTGCGCTAAATGTAAAAAAGTTTCGAAATACATTGCAGATAAAAAGAAAATAGTTTGTGTGTGCTTTCGAATACATGTGTGTGTGTGTGTGTGTGTAAGCGACTAAGTTCACTTGCTTTTAAAGATAGAGGTTAGAAGTGAGTAACTGTACTAAACTTGGTTGCAAGTACTGAATGCAGCTAGCAGCTTGTCTACTTGTCAAATGTTTCGTTGCTAACAGTTTATTTTTGTTGTTTTAATCTGTATTGTTGATGTGCAGGCAATGGTCTTACGCTACATGTACATACCTAGGTACGCATATTGTACCTACATATATCCAAGCATACATACATATGTAGGTACATATCCTCAAATTGGCCACTGACCAAGCAAACTGAAATGTGTGAGCCTGTGTAAGATATCGATAATGAAATTTAATGCTGTCTGCCTCAAAGAGTACGAAATTTTTAATTTTTAATCATTTCTGAAGAGAAATTAAAAAATTACCTTAATGGCAAAAGTAAAATTTATTCTCTAAGAGGATAGAATTCCTTCATTTAGGTCGCCGACTAAATGTTGAGGGATTCCAATGCTATTGTATTACCTTTATCTAAAAGTAACTCAGTAAATTTATTGCTATGCATCGCATATCTGCACCATAGAAGTCATTTATGCGCACTACCAAAAGAATACCAATTTTAGAAAAAACGATAAATGTTTAAAATGGAACTACTAGGATGAAAACTTTGAAAATATTGAAACCTACTCGATGTAAATATTTCGAAATATGGAGCTGTATACGATATTTATGAGTTATTTTCGTATGTGTACAAGTCTTGAAATGAACTCAGAACTGAGGAAAAAGGCGCAAAAATGCTGATAAATGCTGTGGATCTCGAAATGAAATTAATCTTATATTTAATTTTCAAAGTCGACCAGCTTTCGCTGTCACTGAGTCAAGAATTCAAGGAAATCAAGCTGAATCTGGTAGAAACAATAGGTCTAGTCAAAAATTTACGCCATGAAATTCTTAGAATACGTTCCGAAAACGATAAATATTTAGAAATGTACACAGCTTCAACAAAAATAGCGAAATCGCTCTAAATTGAGGTAAAACATTTAAAAACAAATAGTAAGTAGATGGAAGCATCGTTGGAATCACCGAGGCTACGTCGGTGTGACCGTATTTAATGCATTTCTGGAAATCTTAATAACGGATCTGGAGGAAAGATTCACCAATCATGAAAATATCAATGGCGCTCTTCAAGCACGAATTGTTTGAAGTTGACAAAGTGGCTCCAGGATTCGTTGAGGTATATGAAAAAATTCTCATTGCTGGATCTTCAGAAGTACTCGCTGAGTTGAGAAT